AATAAATAAATAAATTCGAATTGGCAATTTAAAAAAAAACTGCCTCATACGGTGATACAATTGATAGCTTTCTTTTCCGAAAACCGTTATCGCATTATCGGGCGCACGTTTTCCACGTCATTAATTTTGAAAAGTCGTGGCGATATCTTAACTACGTAACGCGAGGGCGCCCTCCCCGGAGATATAAAAAACAGAGTGCTCAGAAATTGCCGAGCCGCGGAATAAAACCGGATCAAATGCTTGCTGCTAACGGAAAACAGCACTGTCTAAAATCCAGGGTTGCCACAAACGTAATAATATGCATACACATGTGTAATTGACTGCCTCCTTGATCTAGTGGTTGTAGTGGCGCGACAACTGATCATGAGGTCCTGAGTTCGAATCCCGCGTCGGGCAAAAAAATTAATTATTGAGTTTTTCCGTCAAAAAATTCTCAATAGCTGCCCGGAGTCAGGAAGTTGGCGGAATATCACCTCCATGCTTCGGAATGCATGTAAAGCAGTTGGTCCTGCGCCTGATTCTCCGGTCGTGTCGGTTTACCGTCCCATCGGAATATGAGAATGATGGAATAAAGAGTGCACTTGTGCTTGCGCATACACTTGGGAACTATAATCTTGTCCTGCGCCTCCGTCCTGGCTAGTCTCCGTTGACCGAAATTCGGTTTGGAGGACATTATTATTACATATATATAAATAGGGTCACGCTTAAAGCCTCGAGGGGAAGACAGAGTCCAAAGACTAGTGAGCTATCCAAACCACTTTATAATAATTATATATCGTTGAAATATTAATAATTATCATAATTAAATATAAATGATTGTTGTTATGAATATTTTTACAAAAAGTTTTTTAGTCAATATTTAAATAAAATAAAATATTTATTTTCAAATCAAACAGGGCACTTAAATTCTGTGATTCTTAATGATTGTGTACAACCGACGGACTCCTATATACACTGTAAAAACCAAACTAACACGCCACTTATCGCGCATCAAAAGCACTTTTTCATTTTCCCCGCCCTATTTTTTCGCTTCTTTAGTTTTTTGGTGCGCCATGGTTGTCTCTAGGCAACTGACACAAAGGAAAAGTCACGAGATTTACAGATGACAAAAATGTTATTTTCGTAACTGGCTGCGTGTGAACGCTGCTGGGTTTGCGTGACATATTTTTCTAGTGTCGAGGATGACAAATGTGAAGATAAATCACGGCGAAAGTCAGCTTTTCTTTTAAAAGTTTTATTTCTACGTATCCGTGCGAGATTTTCTGTTTGTATCTGACAGGCTCGTTCGTTTTAGAAGCAAGCTAAATATTATATTATGTCTATTTTCTTTAGCACTCAGGGCCGATTTTTAGATCGTAAGATAAAAATTATCCATTATATAAACTGTAACCTAGCGTAATATAACACTTGAGTTATTAATGGAACATCATCATCATTACAGCCCTTCACAAGTCCACTGCTGAACATAGGCCTCCCCCAAGTAATGCCACAAACCACTGTCCTGAGCCACCTGCATCCATCGACTTCCTGCATGTCTTACCAGGTCGTCACTCCATCTAGTGTGGGGTCGCCCTACACTACGCCTACCGGTACGAGGCTGTCACTCGAGAACCTTTCTTCCCCATCGGTTATTCGGTTATATCGGTTCTTCGAGCTATATGGCTGGCCCATTGCCACTTCAGCTTTCTAATCCGTTGGGTTATGACGGTCACTCTGGTTTTACTGCGGATATGCTCATTTCATATGTAATGTATTTCATTTCATATTTCATATGCTCATTAATGGATACAACAGTAATTTTTTAATTTGTTTATATTGTTGGATAATACTATATTTACGGATTTTATAGCGTTTAATAACTCATTTTAACTTGTTTTTAATTCCCGACTTCGGGCGCTTTAAAGCACCCGTGGTCACGGAGGGTACTTAGATGTTTGACGTCATAGTTAGCCCGGCTATTTTCAGTTTTTAGGGGTCGCGTAAATTTATGGAACCATTATTGTTTATTTTGTATTTTATTCTTTGAATAACTTTAATCCGGTGATGGTAAAATCTGGCCTAGAGTGCCAAGCAGACTAATGGTCCATTTATCTGCCAGCAAAAAATTTTATCATAATTTTAGATACTTCTGTAATTGTTATATTATTCTATAATTATATAATTGTTTGTAAAGGAGTTGACCCTTGACCTTGTTATGTAACAAAGGTGAGGGAAAATAGATGTCCCAATGACCATATCAATGTCTCCAAGAACGGAGTAAGTGTCATCCGCTAAAGCCAAATTATTGAAGTTGGTCATTGCGGAGGCGTTAACTAAACAGGTTGGCAGACTCTGAGCTCGGTCACCTTGTCTACTACTAACGAATTTATATTAGAATTAATACTGCGATCGAAACAGAATAATATTTTATATTTATCGAACCTTGGGATATTTTTTGACGCCTCCAATTCCTTTTATTCTATATTATTTTCAATTATGCAGAATTAATAATTAAATCCCTATCTATTGTTGTATCGAAAATTGAAAGAGAAGAAATTGGTAATGAAAATTTTTAAAGCTTGGCAAATAAATGTATTGTATAAGATTTTTTGATGTTAATTTTACAAGGTTAAAAATTTGATATTTTAAAGTCTAATTTAGATCATATTATAATATATAAATCAGTTCATTCATCTGATAGAATAATAAATAACGTAGTTTGATATTGATGACGGATGACAAAACGCCAGCAACGTTTGTAGTAAAAACTAGGTACTTTTTCTTATTTATTTTATTTGAAAAAAAAAAAAAAGTACGCCTGCAGAATTTTTGCCTAAACAGTAGAGAGTCTATATAGTAAAAATTATATATAGACAAACACCCAGACATGGAAAATCTCATGGATCCCACATCTCGAAGCGTTGCAGCCTCAAGTTTAACAATTGTGCATAACAGGTTTATTTAAACAGTTAAATATTATGTGAATGTACTAATATATAGCTATTATATATTTTTTAAAGAATATTAGCAATGCTATAAACATTCCAAATATTCCCCTTAACCACTCGTGGTAAGCTTAAATTGCTTGTGTTACGAGTGGTTCACGCCAGTAGTCGAATGGCGGATTCGAACCCACGACCTTTTTGAGTTCGCGGTCCGCGCCCTGCCATTAGGCTTCTGTCGCTATTATATTGGACTACTTTGAAAGTTTTATAGAATTAAATAATTTCTATGATCAAAGATTTTATTACCAAATATTTTCAGAGAATAGCGCGGCTTCCGTCGATGAAAACTGCACCCTTTTCGGATGATTATTTTTTATTTTAGGGAATAAAACTAAGTCACACGGTGCCAAATAACCGACTAAAAAACGGGACTCAAAAGCTTAATCAGTTTACTATCCAGAAAGTCCTTTCTTTTGAGCCCATTTGCGTGCGCGGGCGATTCAAACTGAAAAGCACTAGCCCGCGTACCCACTCGCCACAGTAGTGAAAACTTCTGGCATTCAAACACCTTAAAATTTAAAGCGATTGACATCAAATGCCTCTTAAAACCTGGTGATCAAATTTTTCCGGGCTATTCTCGGTCACTTCGATTTGCAATTCGAGTTGGTATTTTGTTGGCAGGAGGATGGAAGCATTTTGAAACAGCGAAACCGTCGACCGGCACTTCGTTTCTGAATCGTATTGATAAATTCAAGATTCATCAAATATAATAATGTCATAAAACAAAGAGATGAGACTGCTTCAAATTTAGTAATCATGCCACTGTACCTTTCCACGCAGCTCGGTTTTTGAGGATCAAAGATGTCGCGCGATACCTCAAGCGAAAGTATTCGAGTAATATCTACGCGCACACATGTGTCTCTTCGTTCGCTTATACTTTTTAACTATTTTTTTTTACTGTTAGCACGTTTCCATCCGTAACAGCCGTCAACGAGCGCTAACTTCTTTTCTCATATCCCAACGTTGCCTTAGAAGGGCTTTTATTCACTTTTTTAAATGTCATTTGAAATCGTAAAAAATTATTACGCCAAAATGTTCACGACAAAGATTTATTTTTTAATCTATCAGGATATAACAATCCAGCTCTACAAAAATGTGGAAAGGAAATCACATTTTCACATTCAATTTGGAACAATCGAATTTTCACTTGAAAGTAATCATATTTTCAAAAGAAATTATGTCTGGCCATTACCTAATACAAAAAAAATCGCTAAACTTTCTTCGCGGCCTATCTTGTTTTCCAAAGCACCTTAACTAATCAAAATGGAATGGTCGATATTAGTTCTAGATATATGTGTTCTAGATATATATGTATAAATGTGCTCAAAATCGATTCAATGTTACTTAATTATCATAGAACATGAACGAATGATATAAAAGGGTGGTTCGTCGTAAGCGCTGATTTCCGCCGGCGTCGCGTTAAACGTACTGTAGTTATCCGAAGGGTGAAACAACACGACGTCCTAATAATTAAAGGTCAAATCTTTTGACATAAAGATGTTTTTTTTTTAGTTCAAATTATAAACGATATAAATTGACATATTACGTTAAGGTGGGCAATTTAACTTGTATCTTTATTTATTTTTTGCTATTACAACTTTATAGTTATGCCATAGTAGTAACACCACCGACCTATATAAATACAAGTACGCGTACTTGTATATATAGAGGTCAGTCAGTAACACTGACGGATTGAAGATTATTAAAAGGTAAAATATAGAAGGATAAAGCTTTTTATATAAGTAAAAGAAAATATTTCCAAAAAAATTAACCAACAGTTAAATAGAAGACTCTTTTTAAAATAAGTTTATTACAAAATTGTATTAATATAATATTTTGCTAAACCTTTTTGGAGAAGTAATCTATTATTTTAATATTTTATTTGTGACGTATAGTTTCTGCGCGTATTTTAGACATACATTTTTTCGTGTCACGTACTGTCTGAATAAAATATTAAATATGTTATAGGTGTTTTCTAATGGTATAAGAATGTACAGAAATAAATACCAGGGAGGTATGCTTACAATTTTCTACAGCATAGGCTCAAAACCATTAGAAATATGGGAGACACATATTAAAAATGGTTATGTAACAAGATTTTTAGACCAAGATATAAAATCGACGGTTTTAGAAATAGGCAGCACTAATGTAAGTACAACGTATATAAGCTGTCCTAAAGGAAACCAGGTTTTAGGTATAACTAAGCCTTTTCTCGTGATGATAGTAAAGAATTTAAAAAAGTATTTTTCATTCGAAGTCACCATATTAGATGATACTGGAACAAGACGAAGATTTCGCGTGTCCAACTTTCAAAGTACAACTCAAGTATTACCACTATGTACGGTTATGCCAATTGGATTGGCAGATGATTGGAACCAAATCCAGTTTAACTTGGCTGAATTCACTCGACGTGCTTATAACAAGCAATTTGTCGAAGTACAAAAATTAAAAATAAACGCTAATATACGTCTTAGGCGAGTATACTTTACAGAAAAGTTGGTTCATATGGATGAGTTACCACCCGAATACAAATTGTATTTTCCTTTAGAACATAAAGGTAAAAAAGAAAGCAAAAGACAAACTAGTAAAATTTTAGAACCCTCAGAATCGCAAAACGACAAGGTGACTGTTAAAATTTCTGTTGCCAGTATATATAATAAAGAGCAAAAGAATAGTATAAATAATTCTAAAACCACAGTAAGATCTTTTACAAGTCATAATAATCATTTCAAAATTAAGGATGTAATGGATATAAATGCAGATGAGGTAACGCAACAAAATTTTATTTATGATGATACTGTTAAACTTCTAGAGGAAATTATTGAAAATGTTTTAAGAATAACTAACATAGCATAACATTATAGAGTTAAAACAAATTAATTGAAAATGAATTAAAAAGGTTCATTAAAAGAAAACGTTTATTATTTTCATCATACACTTCAACAGCATTTTAAAGTTCACTGCTCAATAAAGACCTTATCAAAAAGCGGTCTAGGTGCGACCTGAAAGGTCCACAAGACTAACTTTCTAGTGGAAAGAATAAAAAAATATCATATGTTTAATGTTATATACAATTTTTCATTCGGCACAAAAAACGACTTGACCGATTTTTCTCAGTATTTAATGAGGTCTAAGTTACATAATTATGCGTTAAATGAAACTGGTCCCATGTCAATATCACTTTTTGTTCTCGAGATACACGAGGTGAAAATTGAATCCGAACATACATACCTACAAGTGCACACACGGACATCCTCTTAAAAACCATAATATCCGACTCTAAAGACCTTGAAACGTGGAGATGTGTTAAAGTTTCCAATTTGCAAAATCAGAACTATTACAATAACTTCCCACTGGGAAGTTGAAAATGTCTACGGTATATTTTTGATAAGGCATGCATTACATGGAAGACTAGTCTTACATGGTTATGGTTTTGAATCAATATTGCGCCTAATATATATATATATATATATATATATATATTGATTTTCTACTATCACTCATTATACACTTATCACTTAGTAATCGGCATAGTGCAACCAAGTGCAACATGAATGTTGTGATTTGGAGAGAAAAACTTACTATTTTCCCTGTCCCATCTTTTTTTTCTTAGGCCTTCGTGTAATTATTATAAAACATTTTAAAGATCGGTTGTTTTGTATACACAAATGAAAGAGAAGCGTATCTATTCTCAACCTTTAAGTCTATTTATAATTAAAATTATCCACACATTTTTTGCGTGTATCATAAACATATTGTAAATAAGTGATGGGGAAGAAAGGTTCTCGGGTGGGAGCCACGTAGACGACTTGTGGGTAGGGGGGCTGGGGGTTGGTTGTGTGTTTTACAAATTAGTTTATACATAAAAAATATTAATTAATATTACACATTAATTACCGAGCCGTCCTTTGACTTATGTGAATATTTAAAATATTGTTAAATTTGCTCTAAAAGGTCATTGCTGTGTTGCACATAATATTATGTATAGAGTCACTGGTACTCCTCATGTAATGACTTCCTTTTTTGCTAGTTGTACATTCCTTTTTAAATATGTTTACTGAAGATGTGTTAACTATAAATTACAATTATTTACGTATGTTTTATTAATTTTGTAGTGGTTTTATATCATTGTAAGAGAATATATAAACTAATTTTTTTATCATACGATTTTTAAGCGGCGATTATAGGAATTAAAAAAGGATCCTATGGCTTCTCACAGATGACGATATAGCCAGATCACACGAGACTTAAATGTCCAGACTAGAGACAGGGATTAGCATCACAGGTTTGAGACTTCTGCTATTTCTATTGCTAATCTATCTGCTAAGAATGGAGATTATGGTAAATCCTCTCTACAAATGCAGAGGTCCTCAAAAATTTAATTACAGAAGCGCGAAAAAGGCGACCATAATATTATTGCAATTTTTTTTATTATTTACAACAATCACAATAACTAACATTATATTTTGGAGTCACAAACAGATTTCTAGAATAATATATTATTAAGAGGTGAGAGTAAGTCAGCTCAAATTCTAATTTCGCCCCCACTTCCCCGCGCGTCGTATGCTATGTACCGACATGTTTGTAATCACTAATACTCTAAGTAGATAGGTCGTTAGACACTTATTTCATTAGGTTTATCATATTTATGCCTGTTTCTTAACGCCAACCCAGTCGCTTCTTATTTTTATAACGGTTATTTCCCGTTTTAATTTTACGTCTTCCTGTTGCGTAATGTGTTTTCTGATCGTAAGCGACACAACTTCTCCCTTCAAAAGCCGGAGCAATACTAACGGAGAAACGGAGCGACAGGAACCAAGTTTACGCGCCGATATTTTAGGTAATTTCTTTTTTACAGTGAAAATAATGATATTTTAAAAAAAGTAAATAACATAAGCACTGCTTTATGGTTAGTTCAGTTAGTATGCAAAGTTTCATGATCTTATTTAAAGTATTTTATGAATAACAGCGGTTTATTGTTCAGTTTGGAGGTAACTTTGGATTTTTTTTTCTATCGAGAAAATTTTACGGAATCGTGTTTTCGTCTAACATAAACCTTAACATTAATCCTCAACTTTACCATATATTTATTTCAAAATTAATGCTGCAATACTTTCGGCATAACGGAGGATCTTGCTAAGCCATTTGAGGTTATATTTCCCCTTAAGTTATAGGAATAATATATTACATAGAGTGACAACCTGGTAAGAGATGTAGAAAGTCCATGGATGTAGGTGCCTTAGGACTGTGCTTTGTAGCAATCCTTAGGGGAGGCCTATGGTTAGCAGAAGCCTTGTGTAATGGTGATGATGGAAAGGCAACAATAACTAGAATACCACTCTGCTCAACCCTCATTATCGGATTAATCAGCCAATCAACTTTTAATTTTTTTCCATTTCAGCCTATGAAAGCCTTCTTCACCTGAAAATAGGCGTCTCATTAAATTACCTCTCATTAATTACAGGGAGGGTATTTACTAAAGTTGTAAGATTCGCGGGTTGCCCACCGCATTTTTTTTATTCTCTAGTTGCTATTATTAAGACGCTGCTACACATCTGGTCGGTTCCCTTTGTTGCCTCTGTACGCATTACTACAACACGGTAATTTTTTTAATAGATGCCAGTAAAGCCTGTGAACAGTTGCAATTAAATTTAAAGAAAATCAATGTTATACGGCATATTTATGTTACTACTCTAAGGTTATATACATTATACTGGCGGATTGTAAATTTTGTCATAAAATAAATTGTCAAATTGTCTATTTTAAGTGTCAAAAATCAAGCCTTATATTATATGTCTTTGTGATACTTATTATAAATAATATTTAATTATGTTTAAAAACACATATCAAAGTGGACTATTGACAATATTCTACAGTTGTGGATCTAATCCCCTAGCAATATGGGATATGCAGGTTCAGAATGGTCACGTAAAGAGGCTCACTGACAATGAAGTTAATTCCATAGTTCTTGAAATTGTGAGCACTAATGTTGCCACTACTTACATAACGTGTCCGAGAAGGAATCAAGTGCTAGGAATAAAATTACCTTTCCTCGTTATGATTGTAAAAAATTTAAAAAGATACTTTTCATTTGAGATAACTATTCTAGATGATAAAAACATGAGAAGAAGATTCAGAATATCTAATTTTCAATCAACAACAAAGATTAAACCATTTTGCACAACAATGCCAATTGGACTATCTGGTGGCTGGAATCAAATACAATTTAACTTAGCTGATTTTACAAAAAGGGCATATGGGACACAATTTATAGAAACTCTTCGAGTCCAAGTACACGCAAATGCGCGGTTAAGAAGAATTTATTTCTGTGAACGCCTCTATACTGAAGAAGAATTGCCTCAAGATTATAAATTATATTTGCCATTAGAACGCAATCAAAAAAAAGTTAAGGAGAGCAAGAAAGTAGAAAAATCCGTAGATAATGTTTCTAGAGCAACCGCACCTCCACCACCACCAACACCTCCAAAACCACCAACACCTCCGAAACCACCAACACCTCCAGTTGAAGTTGAACCATTGAATACGTCCCCAAAAGAACAAATTTCGCGAAATGTAAGTGAGCATACCGTACCTCCAACCCTTACAGATATAACTGACGAAAACCCACCATCGACAAATGAAGAACATTTTGAAATGAACGGTGAGAAAGATATGGCAGATGCAACACGCGCTGAAGAAGAAAAGGAGGAACTCGTTGAAGATGATTTGGCTAAACCAGAGGAAGAATCTCAACATGACGACGATTTGGAAAAGATTTAAATTTTATATAAATAATTACTTACAAACGTTATGTTTTTAATATTAATGACATTGTGTTATACTTAGCCTGTGTAATAAAATATTTTGCTTGAACTAAGCAGTACCTTTAAAAAATAACTTTAAACATTTTTTGAAAGGACAAACGTCCTTATGAATGATAAACACATCATTTATGAGAACCTGTAAGAGTTTATGAGTTTAGGGTGTTCTTCAAATTTGATAATCCTTTTTACGAAATGTTTGTTGGTGACGTATGTTATATAGTTAACCTTTTTACCTTTAGCATGACGATGGAGCGAGGGAGGAAGGGAATTACAAATTAGGAAAATCATTGTGAAATTATACTGATACCTTGTACAAAAGTTAAACCCAAAACTTTGTAAAATCTCCGTGTAAATCTTTTTATTTAGATACTAATATTCACTTTAGTATCTGTATGGAGCTTGCATGTTACCTGAAAAGAAGAATAAACAATTTATTAATTCGACAATTAGTTTAAAGAATCGATAAATATTAATAGATCATATAAGAAAGCTTATTTAATTTCGGTTCTGTGTTAACGACATTTGAAAAAATACTGTTCAAATATTAATAAGTATCAATTTCCATTGCACTGCTTTATGAGAGTGCAAAGGACATATAAATAATTTTGTAGGCCCATATTAATAAAAAGGTGTTCATATAGCCTTATCACGGTTACAAATAAACAACGAGAGTCCTGATTATATAATTCAATAGGTTCCTTTATGAATAGAACTGAACGGTACCTCGTATTGAATTGACCGGGCCAATTGCTCACAGAATTGAATAAAAATATTGAAATGTGTACCGTGGGGCTCGCTACCGAAAATCTCGGGACCCTATTTTCTCTTTTTATTACATTGAATAAGTTAGAGTGAATGTCTTTAAATATGTAAACAGAAATGCCCCGAGAGTTGCTCTCGGCCCGATCCAATGTATGTTATGTACCGTAAGTACTCAATTATAATGAATGTTTCACAGAACTACAAAAACTATGAAAGACCTGTGAGTATGATCGGTCTTTAATTTAAGAAATTGAAATGGAGATTTGTCTACAAAAAAGTTTTAGTGAGCTATATCTTATGGATTCCTTTGTTACGCGTTCTCTTGATGTGGACCGTTATACGTTACTTACTTTATTAAAATTTATTGCGAATAAAAGAGATGTCACACTGCCTTGCGGCTATATAGCGACGCCTGTACGAAGCTTACCACACGTAACAAAATTGGTGCTTAGAGGCTGATCTAGTACTTTGCAATGCATTTTATCTCACATTGAAGCAGCGTGTCGACACCGCACCAACCTCATAGCACTCATTGCAGTAAACCATCCTATCGCCACCGCACCTCTCGTGTGGCATCTCTTTGAAGCTCCGTCTACATCAGGGTTGCAGCGCATTTTTAATTTAGAAAAGTACTACCAATGCTATTAATATTTCCTTTAACTACTCCTAGTAAACTTAAAATCTTAGTGTTAGGAGTGGACAGTCGTTCGAATAACGGATTACGTTACCTTTTGAGATTGTAGTCCGCACTCTGCCTTAGATCAAATTATTACTAAGATCACCCTAAACCTAAATCATTTTAATAAATTTTATATGCTCACTACTAGCGGTCCAAAGCGGTGAGCGGTGCACCGTATTGCTACAGAAAATAAATTGCAGTCGAATTATGCGGTGCGTACCAACATACGCATACGTATGCATACATATACATTTGCATGTCCCTACATATATATAGTACCAGGTTGACCGAGCTTTGCTCGGTATTTTTTGCTCGCTTTTTTTTAATTCGTATGTTTTGGAAATTATATTTAGATACAAATTACATACTGATGAAATACGAATAATATTTTTTGATGTTAGCGACATAATAGAAAAAACTGAACTGGTTATTTGAATAAAAAAGTCATGAGTGCAATTAGTTTAATTTAAATTTTCGTGTTTTTAAAAAATACTAAAAAAAGGGCTCGAAAAAATAGATTCGCTCAAAAAAAGAAAGGAACTTGAAAAAAAAATTTAAAAAAGTCGGTCGGTCGTTCTAGGCTCGAACCATGGTATTACGATTTTGTGTCCACCCAATATACCAATTAAGCTATTTGTAATCATTAATAAACTGTCAAAATTTACCTTCTTAGTCTAACGATATCGTAGCAGTTTTTCATTGCCTGAAAACACGGACAAAAAGACATTTTCTAAAAATACATCCTAGCTAGATCGATTTATTGCCCCTGAAACTCCCAGCACACAAAATTTTATGAAAATCGTTGGTTGTATATATATATATATATATATATATAAGAATTGCTCGTTTAAAGGTATAGGATAGGTCATTGTCTGCAGGCAACGAAGGCAGACGTTTAATAAACGTATAATATAGGATCCCTGTATCGGTCAAGGCGTTTTGCATACATACATGGCAAATATCCAGACCCAATAATGGTTTTACTTAATGCTTTTTGTTCTTATGAAATATATACAAAAAAATTAAAGTGCTTGTTGCAGCTTAATTGATTTCATATAAAGTAAGTACCTAATATAATATCTTAAATTTTAGGCCAACCGCAGGTTTGACTATAGTATTAAACCACTGCTCCTATTGTGCGTTCAGCTGATTTTCATTGCATTACGCTGCGGTCCAGAACGCTACTCACTAATACTTTCACAGGTCGTAAAAGTTTACTGCTGGAACCTCTAGACTTCTCACGTTATAAGGAGGAAAAGCCTTCCAAGCGATCCAAACATCTCGCACCTTGCCCATCACCGGTGTAGGATTGTTTGACGTAAACGAGATGATAATCCCGCCGTTGATCGAAAGCCATAAGAGTTTTTTAAGATTCCCCTTAGTTGCCTCGTACCACACCACACGGGATTAAATGCGGTAATAGATTATATATTTGCGCCGCCGAAACACGAAAAATGATATTATTGTAATGTCGTAATGACCACCGGTGGATGCCGCCACCGAAGTATGTGGTGTCAGTAAGAGAACAAAAATGATAGGAAAAGTAATACGTTGTGGTGGAATGATGAGGTACGGGTGGAAGTTGAATCAAAGAAGAAAGCATGGTTAGATTTACTAGCAAGCAAAGCTGGTAATTCTTCTGGTATGAATGACGAGATTGAAAGAAAAAAGGCAGAATTTAGACGTCTAAATAAGAGAGTAAAAGAAGTTGTTGAAAGGAAAAAGAAAGAAAGAACGTATAAGAATGATGAAGGATATCTGATAATTTCCAGGCTAACGTAAAAATGTTCTGGAAACTCGTAAGAACTGCCAGGGGAAATACAAAATAGCCTATAATGAATGCTATAAGAGACGAGAATGGATGTATTCTGAATGATGAAGTTTCGAATTTAAACAGATGGAAGGAATACTTTGAAAGCGTGTTTATGAGTGAAGAGTCGTCTGAATTAAATGAACTAGAAATTCCGAAAGAAGTGGAAAGGGGTATGGAGATAAGTGTAGATGAAATAATGAAAGCAATGAAAAGCATGAAACAGGTAAGGCAGCTGGATATAATAGAGTATCACTCGAGATGCTAAGGGCTGGAGAGGGAGTGGTGGCAGGCCTGCTGTAGACCTTGTTTAATTTATGTTGGGAATTAAAACGGGTACCGGATGACTGGTGTAAAGCAGTTATAGTACCAATATATAAAGGAAAAGGGTCACAGCAGGACTGCAAAAACTACCGTGGTATCAGCTTGCTTAGTATTGTGGGTAAACTGTATGCTAAGGTGTTAATTGAAAGAGTTATGAAAAAACTGATGGAAAAATTTGGGATGTGCAAGCGGGTTTTAGAAAGGGAATGGGGTGTACAGATCAAGTCTTTTCCATGCGCATGATTGCGGAGAAGTTTTTGGCCAAAAACCAGAAAGTTTTTTTGTGCGTTCATGGACTTGGAAAAGGCTTATGACAGAGTGGACAGGAATGTGTTATGGCAAACACTGAACTCATATGGGTTGAGCGCTGGTTTGATACAGGCATTAAGGTCTCTTTATAGGGAGTCTAGTGCTTGTGTCAGGATCAATGGGGTCTACTCGGACTGGTTTGGCATCCAAAAAGGTGTCAGACAGGGCTGTGTAGCTTCCCCTTGGCTGTTCAACCTATTTATGGATAGGTGTTTGCAAACTTTGAAAGATGAAGAATGTGGGTTAAGAATGGGCGAGTTAACCGTCAAATGCCTTTTGTATGCCGATGATCAAGTCATATTTGCGTCATCGGCGGCTGGGTTGCAAATGATGGTTACATTAATGAACTGGGAATTAAAAGAAAGGGGAATGAAAGTGAACGCAAGTAAGACGAAAGTGATGGTTTTTGAAAGAGAAGAAAGCAAACCGTATGTGAAATAAGAATAGAAGGAGAGTTGATTGAGCAAGTGGATGAGTTTGTGTATTTGGGATGTGTATTTAGCAGGGATGGTAGATATGATAGGGATATAGAACGACGAGTAAATGCAGGGAATAGAGTGAATGGGGCACTACACTCTATTATGAAGAACCAGAATGTGTCAAAAAAGGCACGTATGGTAATTCATAATGCTGTGTTAGTCCCTACTTTAATGTATGGTAGTGAAAGCTGGGTGTGGCAGAAGAAGCGCGAAAGTAGAATAAATGCTGTAGAAATGCGGTCTTTAAGGAATATGCTAGGGTTGAATCTGAATGACCGGGTGAGAAATTGCGCGATAAGAGATAAATGTGGTATGCAAGATGATGTTGTGACCAGGATTAAGAAAGGAATGCTTCGGTGGTTTGGTCATGTAGAAAGAATGAATGAGGAAAGAGTTACAAAGCAAATTTATATGGCAGATGTGAACGGCCGAGTCGAGAAGGGACGCCCTAGAAAAAAGTTTATAGACCAAATTGGCGATATTTTGAAAAGGGGCCACGTTAGAAGTACCCTTAACCGACGAGCATGTATGCGTAGATATATGGATGTAAAAGAGGTGAAAGAGGTATGTCAGGATCGTGCCAAATGGAAGTC